AGTGAAGTCTGTGTGGAACAACCGAGTTTTGGAGAGTCAGCCCTAGTGTCTTACGTACGGCTTTGACATACGCTCACATCATTTCATGATTCTGAGCTCTGTTAATGTGATATCCTTGCTCTGTAATATGTTAATTGGTCCTTAATATGAGTATGATTATGTGTTTGATATGGTTTTGTGTGCCATCATGTGAAAATATGTGGTTTTGAATTTCTATATGTTTACCGTAGGAATATCTGTTTGATTATCTGCTTTGGAAATTAAAATTGAAGGCCTTATCGACCACAGAACCCGAAATTGATTGCGTCATTGTGATTGACATAATTTTTAGAGCCTACAGTGAAGTTTAATTGAAAAATTATTTTGGACCAGATTAAATTGATTAAATTATTGAATTAGTGCTCAATTATTTATTCTTATTAAATTGAGTTAGTGGGAATTGTTGTAAAAGGGGGCACTACACCTCAATTCTCCTATTTTGTTGCATCTTGGCTGATTTTTAACTCTAAGAGTAGAGAGAGGGTCGGCTAGAGAGGGTAAGAGGAGAAGAATTGTGTTTGGCTCAAGTTTGTGGAGAATTGGAGGATTAAACCCAAGATTTTGCTATAGATTGTAAGGATTAAGCTCCTAGGTGAGTAATCTTCCCTTGATTCATAAGTTTGGACTTGTGATTTTGTGTATTCAAGCTAGTTGGGTAATCAAGAGTGATTATTGACATAAATTGAGTTGATCATGTTGAATTGAAGGTCAATGTTTGCATGCATGTATGAAGTTGCCTTGAGTTTGCATATTTGAGCACCAAATGCATGATCTATGTGAGTTTTTAGTTGAAGATCATGTTCTTGACCATCTCTTCATCATATAAGTTGAGAATGAGAATAATATACCACATGCATGTGCAAATTATAAGAGTGTAAGTGTTGAATGCATGAAATTGTTATATTGGTAATGAGTTTGGTGGAAAATGAGCCATGCATATGTTCGAGTCATGAAATTGAGCTCCATGTTGATGTGTTTTAGTGTTGGTACCATATTAGTACAAGTATATATGAAATTGGAGCCATAATATGCAAGAAATGTGGTTGAAATGTTGAATTTGAACTCGAGAAACCATTCTGGAAAACCCAGAAATTTGATGTCCGCTCGAGCGGGGAAACCGCCGCTCGAGCGTGAATTTCGTGCTCTCAGTATTTTCTGCAGACCATGATGTCCGCTCGAGCGGGGAAGTCCACGCTCGAGCGGGGAGCTATGTAGGATAGACTTTAGCTTGAGTGCCCAAGTTCCACGCTCGAGCGTAAAAATGACATAACCAGTACTTTTGCAGACCTCATGGGTCCGCTCGAGTGGGGAAGTCCACGCTTGAGCCAGGACCCTGTTTTCTGAAATTTTGTTTATGCGTTCTGTGTTTCGTTTTCCGTTCTCCTTCACTTCTAAGTACTCTTAGGCATTCATTGAGCATTGTAATTGAGTTAAAGAGATAAGAATAAAGCCTAAAGAGGAAAATGTGAATTTAAGAACGGATTGAATTGTTGGTGACCCTTTTGTGTTCATAGACTGTGTAGGGTCGAGCTCCAGGGCAAACCAACCAACCGATCACTGTGGGTAATATTGATATTTGAAACTTGTCATTTGTCCAATTGCTTATTTCTTTATAAGCCTTATGAGTCTACCAGTTTGAATTATAGACAAATGTTTGATATGAATGAAATGATGGGCCAGAGGCCATTTTGACATGAATGGATGGGCCAAAGGCCGTTTTGACATGAATGGATGGGCCAGAGGCTGTTTTGACATGAATGAATGGGCCAGAGGCCATTTTGAAATGAATGGATGGGCCAGAGGCCATTTTGACATGAATGAATGGGCCAGAAGCCAGTTTGACATGAAGATTGAATGGGCCAAAGGCCAGTTTGACATGAAAGTTTGAATGGGCCAGAGGCCAGTCTGAGGCCGTTTTGACAGGAATGAAAGATAAATGGGCCAAAGGCCGGTATGTTGAAGCCACAGTCACTTGACTTAAATTGTGTATATAAATGTTAAATAAAAATGTGAATTGGGCCCAAGGCCATTCGGAGTATGTTGTTCTACATATCGTTTGTATCTTCTTATTTGATATTATTCACAAGGCTATCGCTCATGCTCATTCATGTGTTTGTAAGTGAGCCAAGAGAGGTCCAGACCTAGTCCCAGTGAAGTCTATGTGGAACAACCAAAGTTTTTGGGAGAGTCAGCCCTTGTGTCTCACGTACGAGACTCGTCTTCGCCTTTCTGTCATGCTATGTTATTTTTGTCGTGTTGGCGAGGACTTTGCATATGTCTGTATATAGTTTTCATGGATTGACTTAGTTTTTGGATGATCCTGTTTGTACAGAACTTATGCTACTGTATTTCTGTTGTGAGTTATTAATGTATATATGTATGGTCGTTTGGATGTGCCACGTAAGCACAGCTCTATGGACAAAGTTTTGAACTGCTTCCGTTTGGCCCCCATTAACTCTATTAAAATACATTTGTTTTGGTTTGAGGCCGTAGGTAATCTCATGATTACTGGCCGGTTATGTCCTTAACCCGTGGGGGCGGGTTCGGGTCATGACAACAGGATAGGTTAAAGCCATCAGGACATGGGGCTTTGTTTCCATCACAATCCTTAATGGCAGCCCAAACTTCATCTTCAGAGAAGGCCCTTTCCAACATGGTAGGTGCAAAATTAGGAGTGTTGATGGAGTTAAATTGCCCACCCAATTTAGGCCTACTTTTCCAATGCTCTGTGTAAAGTGAGTTGAAATGGTTCATAACTGCAGATTTAACTTTAGCAAGTTGCACCATTAAGATCTCATTAACCTCTATTGAATCAAATGAATTCTTCCTTTGTCTACTTGTGGCAGTAATATGAAAAAACCTGGTGTTCTTATCACCTTCCAATGACCAGTTGAGCCTAGATTTCTAAAGCCATAACCTTTCCTCTATCTTTCTCAACTTCCAAACTTCCTCCAATAACTCCATCCTTCTAGCAGATTCATTAGCTTGGAGAATTCTATCCTCAACTAACAAGTCTCAAGAGTGAAGTTCAGCTTCCCTCTGCTTGAGATTTTCATTGATGCTGCCAAATACCTCCTTATTCCAATTTTTCAAACACATTTTTAGAGCTTGCAGCTTCTTCTTCAGGATGTACCCTGTCCATCCCTCCAAAGATGTTTGTTCCCAATTTTGCTTGGCTATTTGAAAAAAATTGGTGTGCATAAGCCAAGAGTTGATGAACCTAAATGGTCCAGGTCTCCAATCTCTTCCATACTCCATAAGCAAAAGAGGGCAGTGATCAGATAAGGATTTAGGCAAACCCCAAAGTTTGAAACTAAAGGATTCAAGCCATTCTGGATTTAAAATAAACCTGTCAATTCTACTCCACCTATCAACATCCTCAAAACTGCCCCATGTATATCTTCTGCCCAGCATGGGTAAGTCTACCCCTTCATTTTTTTCAATAAAATTCCCAAAATCTCTCATCCCCACATCCTTCCTAACACAACCCTTCATTTCCCCTATAGTTTTGAATTCATTGAAATCACCCCCCAATGTACCAGGGGTAAGAGAAAGTGGGTCTAAGACTGACTAACAATTCTCAAAGTCGCCTCCTTTCCAGCACATCATTAGAGGTATAAACATTAACAATAATACAACTAAAGTTTGAAGAGGTGATACCTGAAAACAAGATGAAATTCTTATTGCAGCAACACTGTGACATAGTGAAAGACTCTGGATTCCAGATACACAATAGCCACCGAACTTCCCTATTGCATTAACAACCATGAACTCCATTTGATCCCCAGTCCATAAAGATCTCACAAATCATTCTGAAATCTCAGATTTCTTTGTCTCTTGGATTAAAACAATATCTATTCTCCTTAGTCTAATTAGCTCCTTTAATTTCCTCCTTTTCTCAAGTTTTCCCAACCCTCTGATATTCCATGATAACATCTTCATTAATGAACAAAATAGAGCTCCCAACCACCTCGTCCTACAAATCAGGACTGTTTAGCAGCACCCAGCTGCTTCCTTCTCTCCAAATCCTGGTTTTCAAGCTCTATTATCTTCTCAATTACTTCGACCTCCTTCCCTAAAACAACAAATAAATAGCTATAATCAAACAAAGTGGGAGATAGTTTGGGACCTTATGGAACTCATAACCACTTTCAAGTTGAAGATTTTTCTATATTATAGGTATTGTGTTGACAATTCTCTTTTGGGTTATACAGTTCCCCAACTTGTTTGAGGATTGTGAGGCAGTTCGTATACAAAGATTGCATGTTGTCATTCTTTTTTTCATGTCAAAATTTTTAAGCCATGCACTACAACAAAATGCACATTTGGCGATTAAATTGGCGGCTAAAAAAAATTTAGTCGCAAAAAATTGTAAAAATGGCGACTAAAAATTTTTTTAGTCGGCAAAAATAAAATTTTTAGCTACTAATTTTTTTTTAGTCGGGGTATATTGTTTATTGGCGACTAAAAAAAATTTAGTCACCAAAAATGCCAAAATTGGCTACAAAAAAAAAATTTAGCCATCGTAGGTAGAGATTTGGCTACTAAAACGCTTTAATCGCCGATTGGAAAATAAAAAATTATTTTTTACCTTTGGCGACTAAAAAAAGTTTATTTTCAACGATGAAAAATAATTTTAATCGCGCCGTAGGTAGAGATTTAGCTACTAAAATGCTTTAGTCGCCAATTGAAAAATAAAAAATTATTTTTTACCTTTGGCGATCAAAATTTTAGTAGCCAAAAGTTTATGTTCAGCGACGAAAAATAATTTTAGTCACCAAAGAACTAAAATTACTGGAGGGAGATATTTTAAAAAGTTTGGAGGAATTTATGAAATACTTTCAGCGACTAAAAACCTTTTGTCGCCAATGGTGTAATATATATATTTTGGTTTCCAAACCACAAACCAGTCTTCTTCAGCGGTTCTCCCTCTGCCTCTCCCTCTCACCACCGACTGTCACTACCACTGTCGCTGGCCACCGTCCATCCCCACCGTCGCACGTCGCCACCGCCATCGCCGAAATCACCACCAACACTGCCGCAAATCACAGGTTTGTCATTGTCGCGTTCGGTCCTCTCCCTCGTTGTCGACCTAGGTCTCTCTATGTGTCGAGCCATTCCCTCTCTCTCTGTTTCTCTCTCTCTCTTTCTCCCTTCCCCTATTTCCCCATTTCTCACACTTCATCTAGGGTTTATATGATTTTTTTAGTTTAATTTTGTGTTGATTTCGATAATGGGTTTGGTTGAAGCGTTTGATTTCTATGAAATTATGATATTCTTCATGTCGAAAATGGGTTTGATTTTTGAAATTATAATTTCTATTAAGTTATAATATTGCCCAATGAAATGAAGTGCCATCACTTTCAGAAAAATAAATTTGATTTTTTTTTTTTCCAGTTAGTTGAATCATCTATTCCTACTCATCAATATCTTTGTCCATATCAATTTGTGTGTATGTGGTGGAGGGAGGCAGTTTTACACCTTATAGTTTTCAATTTTTTAGGTTTGCCAATGTTCATGTCTTTGTGTTTGTTAGTATAGAAAACTTTGTACACTATGTGTTTGATGATATGCCCATAAGAAAACGTATTATGTTTTAAGTGGTGGCTAGGATGGCTAATTTGATTTTTCAGACTATACATATGAAAATTTCTGAGAAGTCTAAAGTCTGAAGTTTTTCGTGGCTTAGAAGTCTGAAGTTTATGTGCATGAGAGTTATATTTTTTCATAATATTTTGGGAAAGAAAATGTTTTATCATTGTGGGTGCACTGAGTCTTTGATGGCCAACATCAATAAGCATGCATGGCACAACAGAGAACATATAGGACCACCAATGCACTCTTCCATATATACATGTCGTTGTAATTCTTGCTCTGATTAATGTTTCAATACTTACATGGGTTACTTGTGATTATGCAGATATATGCTGTCTCCATAACAATTCGGATTGTGGTAAGTTGGGAGTATCCTATGTACTGTAATTTTTGTTTCAAGTCTGAAATATACCAATCAAGTTAGAAATTTTCTTTTGTCTCTTAAACCTCACAAAATTTCTGAATTTTAATCTTCTTGCAGCTTGGTTTTATGCTCCTAGCATTGATATGGGAATACGATTTCCCGCCTTTCATGGTTCTGATAATAGCAATATTGAATGATGGTAATGTTTCAAGTGTGGAAGGCTTTTTTATATGAACAATGAAGAAAGAAGAAAAATAACAAATGAAATTTCGAAATTAAGCAATGTGGCTTGGCTTGGCTTTAATATTTTGAATGGAAGTTTGAGCCACTAATTTTTTCCCCGACATTTAGGAATGAGATAAACGGGATCTTTTTAAGAAAAATAAATGCATAGTCTTAGTTTGACTTTGCTTTTACCTTGCTCTGTGCTAAATAAGTTTACACTGGTTATGTATTAAGTTTTTTTTTGTAAATATAAATATTTCAAAGTACAATAAACCAAACTGTAGTTTTTTAAAATCTAACTTGCCTGTGAAGTGATAATATCAATTTTAATTTTGGGGTGTAGGGGGCAAAATATCCCTGCTCAGCCAAAAACAAAAAAATTATTCTTATTTGTTAGTTAAAAAAACCACTTCCCATTGCCATTGAAAATTCTGTTTTACAATATACAAACTGTGATGCTTAGCCATCTGGGAAAAAATAAAAAATAAAAAAGAACTTGGTGTAAAATGTGTACTAAAATATGTTTCTTTGTCTTTGTAAACAGGGACCATCATGACAATTTCAAAAGACAGGGTGAAGCCATCTCCGAAACCTGACAGTTGGAAGCTTAATGAAATATTTGCAACCGGTGTTGTCATTGGCACTTATCTTGCTTTAATTACTGTCTTGTTTTACTGGGTTGTAGGAAGCACTTCTTTCTTTGAGGTACCATAATCACAGAATTGTTTCTTTATTGTATTTGTTAAGAAGTTCCGAGGAAAAATATAAAAATACAAATCTTGAATTTGTTTTATGTTTCTGAAATCGGGCTTATTAAATTGCTGATTTGGCTGCAGAACCATTTTGGTGTGGAGTCTCTATCCAGTACTGAAGAAATTTCATCAGCTATGTATCTTCAAGTCAGCATTATCAGCCAAGCTCTTATATTTGTTACCCGCAGTCAAAGTTGGTCATTTATGGAGAGGCCTGGGATTCTCCTGATGTGTGCATTTGTTGTGGCTTAATTGGTAAGGTTTATTCAACTAGGAAAGACCCTCCAAACACTAGATGGTCCGCTTTTTTCACATGTTTGACTTTAATGTGTTTTTGTAATTATGCCAGATTAAAAACCTAATTATTTATTTTTTATACTAATATATAAAGCAAAGGCTGGATTTGGTGTGGATGTCACAGCTTTTGTTTTTCGAAAATGCCCTCCTGTAATTACTGAATTGAACCATATCTACAGATCTGCAATTGCCAAACTCAAGCACACCCATATGGGTATGGGTGTGCACACTTCTAGTTCAACTTAAGATTGGACTTGGCATATTCTTGGACCGACACTAATATAATGTCAAGGATGGACTTATATATGCCATGGGTTTTAAATATATGTATATATAAAATCTGAAAATTATATAAGTAAATAAATACGTTTTTCATAACTAGAATTGATTAAAATCCCTAGTCTGCAAAGAAGAGAAGGCAGAGGAGGAGTCAGTAAGTGACTTGAACACAACTCAAGATTCCTCACTTTAGTATAGATAGATTGTTTTACATTTGCCATTTTCTGTCACTTATCGTAGATACAGGACAACATGCTTAATATACATTTTCATCTTATTTTTTACTTTTATGCCAGTAGAAATTGATGTTGTAGTAAAATTTATGTTAGTATATATAACCATATATAACCAATAAATATGGTAACTAAAGCACAAGATATGTACGGGAGATTCATTAATCGATGTGAGACCGTTTAATATTGTGTTTAATTGATAAATGTAATTAAACCTTAAACCTTAAATAAATAAATAAATAAAAAGAAAAAAAAAAAGAGTTTTTCCACTAATCATTCTCAAATAAGAGTTTGCCGAATTAAAGTCTCAATCTCAGCCTCAATCCAAGTAAAAATCCAATGATGTATATCGAGACAACAAAAGTTACATATTTTTATTCCTTTATCTATCAATAGTTGCCCACTTATCATACACACTCCATTCACGTTTGCATATGTAATGATTTGATTCCCAATTATTAACAAAGCTCCAATTATTAACAAAGCTACACTCCACTCATTGTGATCTTTAACATCATCTCGAAGTCCTAATATTTGTTGCCACACAAATCATTGCCACAATCATGTCCATTTTCATCAATTAGCCATCAATCACCACATCAGCTCTTTGGTTTGGCTTGCTCCACCCTTAATTTTTCTGTCTTCTTTTTCTCAATAGTTGGTTATATATTATGTGCCATATTATTTTCTTTTTCTATTCTTTGCTGACCCAGCTTTGTTAGGATATGAGGAGGATGGGTTAATTTGATGGGCCTTGGTTATGGTTGCTAGGGGAGGGGTCAGGAAGAGTGTCTGGTTTTGTTTTGAAGGGTCCTTCATCCTTTACCTTTTTAGAGGAGAGAGTAGAAAACCAGGGTCCAGAGTTTCTTCAATAATTAATTACACAATGGTCCTTTCTGAAGTGAGACGAGTAGGGCATTTTTGGTTCAGCAAGTTGAGATTATCTGTTGTTCCACTAACTGTGTAGTTGTTCCATTTTCCTGTCGGTTGCTGTCATTTTAGGAAATCTTAATTTGCATTGTGAATCATGATGATTTTATGTTATTCTTTCTGTAGTTTTCCCATTTTGCATGGGTCCAAGCAGATAGAAAATCTGGGAGGCTTCGTGATCTAAAGTATCCATTGATTTCTTATTTTACCAAATCAATTTCAAAATCCTATGGTGTGTTGATTCCGGATCAGGTATGCTCTTTCTAATTTTTTTGCAATTGTTTGATCTTTCTTTCGTAACTTTGCCCTCACTTCATCCTACAGAATATTTTTTTTTTTCATCTTTAAGTCATTAGAAATAAGCTAAACTCTTTCAAGGTTAGTAAAGATAGAGGGGAGTTGAGGATTCATGAGAGTTTGGATGAGCTTAGGACAGATTTGGCAGACTATATTGTGGTTATGAGTTTGGATTAGCTTGGGACAGATTTGACAAACTCTTTCTGGAGTTTGATGGTTTTCTTTTCTGTGGTCTTATGAGTTTGGTTTGTATATATGGTTGGGACCATAAAACTATATGGAGCTCCTTATAACGACACTAATGATTGGGCAAAGTGGTACATATTTTGGGCAAACAAGAGTGGTGGCTAAGAATCATGCTGATAGCAATTATAAGCTAGCCAAGGATTGCCTTCTATTAGAGGTCTTTTTAGTCTCAATATATCCTCATTAGCTCAATTTATTCTTCTTTGACTGAATGAGCAATTTTAAGGCTCTATTTTTTATTTTTATTTTCCATTTTAATTTTAAAGATTGTCTTGGGCTGGGTTTAGGGAGCAATCTTTGTTTCACTGCTGCTGCTTTGTCTTGCATATCCGTGCTCATGAAATTGTGCATGTTCACTGGCAGTTGGTTCAGATCAAACTGCATCAGAAAAGTAGTATTCCTTTTTCTCCCCATGGCTTTATACTAAACCGAGTGAGACTAAGATGGTGAGTTATATGATTTAATAATTGTAGCTCTGTTTTTGACTTAACAATAACCTATGATGCCTCTGTTTTGTGTGGAGACCCCTAAACTATCACTTTGTGCCCTCAATTAGGGACAAATAATGTACATCAAAATTCGGAACATTGAGAAACAATTTCCGCTATAATGGAGTTCAAATGCTTAAAAATTTGACTCCAGTGCAGATAACTAGCATATTAGCATATATAATTAAGATGGACAACGTCTTCGCTTTATTTTTGCCTATGAATGATCCGCAATTCTTAAATCATGTTTTCTAATTCAATATTTGACAATTTTGCTTGCCATTTCAATTCATAAAATAAAGTTTATAGAATTTAATGACAGTGTGTCGTGTCTTTGTCTAACAATAGCACAATCACCATAGCTTTATTCCTAGCCAATAATGGCGCGTTTGCGCGTGGGGGTCCAACTAGTTAATGAAAAAGTCCAGTCCAAGTATTGACAAAGAAAAGCTCTTTATAATATCTTCCTAGCATGAGTATTTTTGTTAAATATTTTATCAAGCTCAAGTTCAATTGTTTTATCAAGCTCCCTCGATGGCACATGCAAGGTTACTTAATTATGTTAAATGTTTCATAATAATATCTTCCTAGTATGAGTATTTTTGTTTCTCGAAATGACTTATTTTCATATTGTAGGTATGAGACCTTGTTACTGAAAGACTTTTACAAACTCGAGCTTTTCCACTATCAATTACTGCAATAGTTGTTGATCCAACAGAGATGAAGTTATTTTCTGGTGGTATAGATTACTAGTGGATATTTATTTTTTGTATACGGAGGACATCATTTTTGTATGATTATCTGTTTGTATAGAATTATTATTTTGGGTTGGATTATATTTGGTTTGTATAGAATTTGATGTTACAAGACCAGATTTTTGGATGGTTGAAAGTGAAATAGAAATAGACATATGTATTGTTTTGTTTATATACAGGGTGCAGGTTGCACGAAATAAATACAGGTTGTGCAGAAATTATTAATAATAATAATAATAATAATAATAATAAAATAACACTAAATAAAGTTTTTGGTGACTAAATGTTTAGTAGCCAAAAAAACAAAATAAAACTTGTTGGCTACTAAAAATTTAATAGCCAAAAACAAACCAAAGATTTTTTGGCAACTAAAAATTTAGTAGTAAAAAATATATGAGACTTTAGGCAACTAAATAGTTTAGTAGCTAAAAAAAAATATGAAAATTAATTTTTTTTAACGACTAAATATTTAGTAGCTAATAATAAATGATGCTTTGGGTGACTAAAAGTTTTAGTCGCTGAAAATGAAAATTAATTTTATTTGAAAACTTTTGGCGACTAAATATTTAGTCGCCAATACGTCGTACTTTTCCCTACTAAAATATTAGTAGCCATTTATAAGACTTTTGGCGACTAAATTTTTTTTAGTCGCCAAAACCGTCCCTGACTGTTTTCCCGCGACAAATCTAGTGACCAAAATATTTAGTCGGGAAAAGGCTTCGGCGACTAAAAACTTTATTTTTGGCGACTAAAACTTTAGTCGCCAAAAGTACATTTTTTTGTAGTGACGGTAGGTTGTTTTTTTTTTTTTTTTTGATGCGGATGATAGTAAAGTTTTATAAATTAAAGAAGATATTTTGTATCACTCATATTTTAATGTTAAAAACAACATATTATATGAACTAAAAGCAAGATATTTTACTGCCAATAGTTCCTTAATTTGGGATGTTGGGAACTTGGGAGAGACAAGTGGGATACAAAGTTAAGATTTTCTGTCTCTAAAATATATGTTCTTTAATGTACTTTCAGCCTATGATTACGGCAGTTCGTATACAAAGATTGCATGTTGTCATTCTTTTTTTCATGTCAAAATTTTTAAGCCATGGCAGGTTTTTTTTTTTGGTTTCTTGATGATGTGGATGATAGTAAAGTTTTATAAATTAAAGAAGATATTTTGTATCACTCATATTTTAATGTTAAAAACAACATATTATATGAACTAAAAGCAAGATATTTTACTGTCAATAGTTCCTTAATTTGGGATGTTTGGGATGTTGGGAACTTGGGACAGACAAGTGGGATACAAAGTCAAGATATTGTGTCTCTAAAATATATGTTGTTTATGCTGTGTTTGGTTAGGGGATTTGAGCAGGGATTTGGAAGGGAAATGAAAAAGGTTGGTGAAATGTGAATAAAATATGTCTATATTTTACATAATTTCACACATCTTTTTCCTTTTATTTTTCAAATCCCTTCCTAAATCTTTAAACCCAACACAGCATAAATGTACTTTCAGCCTATGATCATTCATCCATATTCTTCTATTTTAAGATTTTCATCATATTGTGCAATAAAAAACACATGAGACACATGGGAGCAAAATTTTGAAAACTGAGAATTTATCATCAAATTTAATTTTTATCTCATGGATAATTTCTTATGTACAAAATATATATACATATATATTATTTTTGGGTACCATTTCCAAAAACTACTCCTACTTCTAACTATTTGATTTGAATATGAAAAAAAATCCAACGATTAATTAATAATTACTAAACCAAATACAAAAATAAAAATAAAAATAAAAACAAAAACAACGTGATTTTTTTTAAAAATAAAATAGTTTTCATTTTTTTTTTTTTATTTAACATTGAAACTATATCATTTAGGATATAATGTGACATCAGAGCATTTTCAACAGTCTCTTAGAAAGGAGCATGTTGGCTATTGTAACTAGTTTCATCTTATTTTACTTCATCCAATGTGCTAACTACTGTAAAAGTCATTTTAGCAAAATTCTTCCAAGTTAACTACATTTGGAGTCATTGGAAGCTTTATAAACAGTTTCTGTGAATAAATAAATCAAATAAATAGAGTAGGTAGATGAAAAAAATAGTTAGGTAAAATAAATAATTTAGCTTCTTTATAATTTAACTAGTAAAAAATAAAGAGTTGCATTATAGTTGTTCATTAGAATTTACTTTGCATACTATCTATCCACTATTAAAACTTACTTTGTTTACCGTTCAAATTAACCCTATTTACCACAAAATGACTACACTTACCATTTTTTTTTAAAGTATAACTAGCCAAATTATTATTTTAGCTAAACTAGCCAATAAACCATGACAAAAATATAGCTTTAGCAAACCAGCCCAAGAGCTAGTTAAAAATTAAAATAGCTTAAGCTACAGTCCCTGAATATATTTATTAAGCCACTGTTTACTAGCAATCTTAATATTTTATTCTTAATAAATCACTCCATTTTTAATATAATTGTATTTGAAAAAATAAATAAAGAATACAGTAAATGATATTGTTAAAGGATAATAATTAAAATAGAGAGTTTTTGTTGAAATATAATTTGAAAAAGCAAAATAAGTTTGGTGCACAACACCATGCTATGAAGTGTTTGGGGTATGTTCCGAATCTATTTCAATGATTCGAACCTTTTATGTAGTAGAATTTGTCGAGTAGATTATTCATAAAAAATTAAGTTAATTAGACATTTGTAATCCCATAACAAAACCACATTTATATTGAAAAAAAAGAGCCATTTAGCATAATTTTGATAATTTTGATAATTTTTTTTTTAAAAAAAGATTAGATCTTGATCATCAATTTACACATGTCCGTTTAATCTTTTTGTTATCCCTAAGGTTATTCAAACTTGAATTTCTATTGATTTTGATTAGTGACGACTGTTCTATTCTTCTGATTACTTGAAGTTTTCAAATTAATAAATGTGCTTCATGATTCTAAATGTTTTGTGACTTTAGGGTATTATGTTCAATAACTTTTGGGATATCAAAAATATGAGCATTAGCTCTTGGTTGCAAAACTCTATTTTTGTCTAACATAGGTCTAAGGGTTGACACCAGAAGAGCAATGGTCAACACTAGAATAATCCTCAAGAGTAATAAGTGTTCCAGAACAAAGGGTCGACACCAGAAAAGCTAGGGTCGACACCAGAGAGAAGCTTAAAAAATGACTAAGTGCTCTAGATGCAAGGGTCGACACCAAAAAGCATAATACACTTCAGCTGCAAGGGTCGACACCAAATAAGATAAGGGTTGACACTAGGAACACTTGTAAATCAACTCAGGAAAGAAAAGACAGAGCAAAAGGTCGACACCCAATCTGCAGGGTCGACACCTTTATGCCTGGGTTGCAAAAAAAACTAGCCGCCATCTTCCAACTCCAAGAGGCTCTCTGTGACGTCATCATCAGACAAATTCTATTCTAATCAAAAGGGACTTTGGGACATCAACCTCTGACTCAGTAGAGGAAACATTCTCCACCCACACCACTCCCAAAATCAGAGAAAACAAAAAGTTTTAGGACAGCATCATCTCCTCCACTAAAGGTTTGAATCTCAAGTATGAACACCACATCTTTTGAGAAAGCTCCACCTCCCACAATCAGAAGACCACCTGTACCACCCAAGCTCCACTTGCAACAGTTGGAAACTTTCTCCTTGCCTAGCTCCAACAACTAGAAGACCCACGTGGGTGTGTTTGTACTTCAAGAGAGAAGTCGGATGGAAGCTATAAAGCTGGATCTTTTCCAGATCTGAATTGAGAGAAACTCACATAGTTTGGGAAGTTGGTTTTGGTGGGTTAGGGGCTAAAATAGCCACAAAAAACAAAATATCAAATCCAACCCATAATCATTACACTCCTCTCTCACAAAAAAAGTCAAAAAGCCAAAAAGCCCTTCCCAAACCAGGCTTTTTAGCCCCAGGCTAAAATAGCCAAAAAGCCAAAAAGCCAACCCACTTCCCAAACGGAGGCTAAGTATACAGAGCATTATTTTCAACCTCTAAGATTCCATTTTTTGTTCTCCCATTTTTAGATCTAAGTTAGTCCAAAATTTAGTTGTGAGCTTACACTTTCATAATCCATCTTTTGAGAGATAGTAATTGTCAAAGAGGACAGTTGAACCTCTTCTTCTAGTTTCTTAGTTTCCGAGTGAAACACTTGTAAAGTGAGGCATTTTGTTAAGTGAGATCCTAAACAAATTGAAGTAAGTCCTTTTGTGAAAAACCACAAGTTGGGAAAAGCTTAGTGGTGTATCAATTCATACTAAAGAAATTCTCAAGGAGGACTCTTGAGGAGTGGACGTAGGTCGGTGAGCCGGACCACTATAAATCCTTATGTTAAGTTCTTCTTTCCATTTCTTTTTACTTTCTGTTAATCTATTGATTATCTGTTGCATTTAATTACTTAAGATCTTTGAACCTTATTTTTGGACCAAATTTTTTAATAACCCAATTCACCTCCCCTCTTGGGTTGCTTTCCTGTTTAACAATTGGTATCAGAGCCACGTCTCTAGTAGTGTGACTTAATCGTCTTAGAGTGATCTATGGAAAACCCTAGTTCTTCTCTCCCTGAAGGTCAAGCCTCAAACAAACCACCTTTCTTCAATGGAACAAATTTTAACTATTGAAAAACCCGCACGATTATGCATATTCAATCTACTAACTATGAAGTTTGGAAAATCATATGTGAGGGTCCTAAGGTACCCACAAAAACCATAGATGGTCTGCTAGTACCCAAACTTGAGAGTGAGTGGACTACCGCTGACTATAAAGATATTCAATTAAATGCCAAAGCTGTTAATATGTTGTATTGTGCACTTGATACTACCGAGTTTAACAAAATATGCACTTGTACCACTGCAAAAGAAATTTGGATAAACTTGTTGTAACTCATGAGGGAACCACTCAAGTTAAAGAATCTAGAGTGAGCTTACTTGTTCATAACTATGAGCTCTTCAAGATGAAACCAGATAAAAGCATATCCCAAATGTTCACTCGTTTTACAGATATTATAAACATTCTTAAATCTCTTGGGAAGACATACACTAATGCAGAAATTGTCAG